ACCTGTGGGTCGCAACCCCTTTGGTAGTTCGAACTACCTTTTCATGGGGGTTGCATTACAAATATCCTGCATATCAAATATTTCCATTGTGATTCATAACAGTAGCAAAGTTGCAGGCATGAAGTAGCAACGAAAATAGTGTTATGGTTGGGGGTCACCACAATGTGAGGAACTGTATTAAAGGATTGTAGCATCAGGAAGTCTGAGAACCACTGCCCTTGAGAGTCAGATTTTGTATTCCACCTCTAGGACCTATGATGTTACTGCCCTTAGATTAGGCAAGGCAGAAGACAGTATTTGGGTTAAGGTCAGATTTAAAGAAGGAGCATACAAAAAAGGCTCAGTACTTAGATTAAAAGAGAAAGAAATTTAGTGGAAGGAGTAGGGAGATATAAATATATATATATATATATATATATATATATATATACCATCAGAATTTTTATATGCCATCAGAAGTTTTGGAATCATCTACCTTTTATTTCAGAAGTTTTAAATACACTAAGGAAATAAAGTCAGATTGTTAGATTATCTGTTTTAATGTAAAACCATGATTCCCCAGAGATAGGTTGAGAGCAAGTGGGATTCTTGGAGGAATGACTGCTTGTCATAAAAATTGGTGTTTTTCATCTTGCCATCTCAGGGCTGCTCACAGTACTTGGGGCCAGAGCCTCCGTGAATACGTGTGTGTGGACAGTTCAGCTGCCATGTTGGGTTTGGCTGAAAAGCTCCTCAAAGGTGAGACCAAGTTGTAACCCAGGACTTTTCAAAGTTAAAGGAGATAGGAAAATGTCTCACTGGGATGTAGAGGAGAAAACTGTAAATTAAGATAACCTGGTCTTCTTCCATTATTATAGTGGGACAGTGCTAGAGTCCTTTGTAGGACTGAGTGTTTGGATGATGTCTGTAGGTCACCTTTTTTTAGTACTCCCTCATAGCCCTGCACCTCTTGGCCAGTGTTAGCATCCGAGGCATGTTTATTGAGTATAACCTTGTGGCTGTAAAGTTCATGTTCACTCTTGGCTTCCACATCTTTCTTCCATAGGTGGTTCAGAATCAGGGAAGCCCTGTATCCCAGGTGTCTTTTTCAGACAGTTTCTACCTGTGTCACCCAAGGCAAGTAGCAAGTAGGCTGTTCTCAGATACAATGTGGCAGACAGACAGCTATGGCCTCAGCCGTGAAATCCATCATTTTGTGTTAGAGGATAAAAGAAGCAATAGAAGACATTTAAAACTAGGCATCATGGTGCACACCTGTAATCTCAGCACTCAGGAGCTGAGGCAGGAGGATTACTGTGAGTTTGAGTCCAACATGGGTTACATAATAAGATACTGGGGTCAGGAGGATTTAGAGGACTTTGTGGTACTTTTGGATAGGGAATCGTCAGGTCTGTTGTGTCCCTTGTCTTGGTCCTCAGGTCCAGTTTGATGTGGTAGTATCAGCCTACGCCCTCAGTGAACTACCCAGCAAGGCTGATCGCATTGGGGTCATTCAGAACTTGTGGCGTAAGACAAGCCGTTTCCTGGTGAGTTGAAATCCTTTCCTCGCATGTTTTAAAGGATCTTTGTGGTTCTGTGCCTTTTCCTCTTGTCATCATCTAGTGTCTTTCTCCCTTATAGATGTCTGTGTGCTTCCTTAGGGTATCCATTCCCCTTTCACACAGTGTCCACTTCCTCTTCCCTCTGCCAGTGCCCTGACCGAGCCACTGACAACGGTTTCATGGGATGATCAGTGCCTGCTTATTTTCTGTCTTTTTAAACAGGTATTGGTGGAGAACGGAACAAAAGCTGGGCACCGACTTCTCATGGATGCCAGGAACCTGGTCCTTGGGGTAAGGTTCCATGTGCTCAGTCCTCACCTCTCTGTCATGTTACTCTTTCTCCCTTGGGAGCTGGTGACTGTCACACACCTACAGTGATGACTCAAGAATGAGACACACAAAGTCATGATACAGCAAAGTAGTTGGCAAATGAGGGTTTCTAGGTCAAATCCAGCCCAGCACGTGTTGCCCTAGGAGCTATTCGTTTACATGAATCTGATAGCTTTCACACAGCCTACTGACCGCAGAACTGACTAAGTACCTTAGAAACAGGTGTCACCTTAGAAACAGGTGTCGCTTGCTCCTTGGTCAATTAAAAAACGACTTTGCTGACTCCTGGTTGAAGGTGTTGCTGAACCAAGAACCTTGTCTGGGGAAACAGTGTGAGCCAATATGGAATCCTAAATTTAATTATGCCAGAGTGAGAGTTTCCGGAGTGGAGGTTGCTGATGAGAGTACAGGTCCGTGGGCCACCTTACCTCCATGACCATGGTTTGCCAATATTAGAATTATTATGAGGCGTCTTCAGTTGGCCAGCTCTAGAGGTTGAATTATAAACAGAGATCCCACGGGCTCAACTGTATTTCCTTGATTTCAGGAAAAAGAGAAGTCACCTTTGGACCTTCAACCCAGCTTTGTCTTTGCCCCAGTGAGTACTGCTTCCTCCTGTCCTGCCGCTCAGATCGAGAAGAGCAAGAGAGTGAAGCAGAGCCTCTCCCTCTGCTTGCCCAGCCCCTGCTCCTGTGCTCCCTTCCTCCTGACCCCTGTTGACTCTAAATTTATTTTATTTTTTGTTGTATGCATGGCATGTATGTGGGTTCGTGTGAGGTGTATGTGGGTGCGTGTGAGGTATATATGGGGATCAGACAGTTTTCAGGAGTCTGTTCTCTCCTTCCTCTGTGGAACTTGAGGGGTCAGATCCAGGCCATTAGACTTTGGCAACAAGTGCTTGTACCAGACGAGCTTTCTCCCCAGCCCCTGTTACATTACTGATGGATCTTACGTGTGTTTGCAGTGTCCCCATGAACTTCCTTGTCCTCAGCTGAATGCCTCCAAGTCCCTGGCCTGTAGCTTCTCCCAGGCTTATCATCCTATCCCCTTTAACTGGGTATGTATCTTTAGAGTGTTGTAACAAAGTGAAATAGCCTAACCTAGGAAAACAGCATAAAAAAACAGAGGGTGGGAAGGCTGGAATAACCTGAAGGTCTGTGACTTACAGGATGAGAAAGGGCTTCAGGCGTGTACAGGGAAGGGAGCTAAGAAGGTTTGTTCCCTCTGAACAACCCCTGTGTTCTTCTTCTAGAATAAGAAACCGAAGGAGGAAAGGTTCTCTATGGTAATCCTTGCCAGGGGTTCTCCAAAGGAACCTAACCGCTGGCCCCGAATCACACAGCCCGTCCTTAAACGGCCTCGCCATGTGCATTGCCACCTCTGTTGCCCAGATGGGGACATGCAGCACGCTGTGGTTACAGCCCGTCGGCACGGCAGGTACAGGAGGTGTGACCACTTGAGTAAATGTCGCAAGAACCTGCAGCTCATTTAACACCTCTCTCTCTTGCCACAGGGATTTGTATCGCTGTGCCCGAGTCAGCTCCTGGGGAGACCTTTTACCTGTGATTGGTCCATCCGAATTTCCTCCTCTGTCCTCTGCTGAAGAGCCCCCTGAGAGTTAACACGGACCTATCACAAGGGTTCCTTTCCATCACACCTGCTAAGGGCAAAGCTACGTGGCATCCAGGAAGACAGCTCTGGTACTCCTGTGCTTGTATTTGTTTGAAATTTTAATAATAAATGTTTTTAAAGAACAGAGGTCGATGTTATGACTGCTTAAAGATACAAGGCCAGTTGTCCTGGCCTGTCTGTAATGAAGAGGGTGCAATCTCAGTGTGGAGAGCTCTCATTGCTTCAGAGATACTTCCTTAAAAGACATGGAGGATGGTGGGGAAAGACACCACTGGCCCTGTGAGAAGGGGCTCAGCAGGTCTCAACCAGTGGTCATGTGCACCTCTAAGAGGGAACTAGCAGTTAGCTGACTTCTCTCCCCGTTTCTTTCCCTGGACTTTGCCTCATATTTCCCTCAAAGTTAATCTAGTCAGGACACTTTTGTTTATTTGGTCTATTTCCATTCTAGAACAACCCCAGTTCACAACAGGAAATGTTAACCCCCAAAACATACCCACCAGAAAGGCAAGGGCACCTCAAGTCTGCCTCCACACAGCAAGCATAATCCCAAGCTATAAGGGGCCAAGCTGATAACATCACAGGCTTTTATAAAGGTCAAGGTTTTTAGAGTTCTTGGCACTGATAGACATCTGGTAGACCAGGTTCAGCAATCTGAGGTTCTGCACTTGAAGCTTGTAGATTGTCCTGTACGATGAAAATGACAAGGTTAACAGTTGGTAATTATAGGACTAGATCACAATAGGGACATGGCACAGCTCACCTTGACCAAAATGAAGAATGTGTTCTGCCTGAGCTTTTTTTTGTTTGAAGTTTGTGGGTTTCCTTAAAGTTTCAAGATTAAAAAAGAAGAAAAAGAAGTGTTTAAACTTTTATAGAAGAGAAAAAACAATTGATTTCTCTGGGGGGTAGATGGAAGGGCATCATCACAGAAACAAGTGACAGGTGGGGCATAGTGGCCCAAGGCTTTGGAGAAGCAGAGGTTTCTCCAAATCTCTGAGTTTATCAAGGCTAGCCTGATACATATAGTTCCAGGCTGACCAGGACTACACGTTGAGACTCTGTGTCAAAAATTAGTAACAGTATCCATGTTGTAACACTAGGAATACACACACACACACACACACACACACACACACACGAGAGGGAGGGAGGGAAGGGGAGAGAGACAGACAGAGAGAGAGAGAGTGTGTGTGTGTGTGTGTGTGTGTACACGCGCGTGCGTGCACACTCCCTGGGAATTTCCATGCCTGGAGCTATTTTTCTGGAATTAGAGGAAAGGGGACTTGCTAATTCACACAGAAGAGTAACAACTCCACCCCTTTTACCCTCGGGTGGCCCCAAATCCTCTCTGAAAGGATTCAGTTCAAGTATCAGGGTAGCAGCCTGTAAGACTTAGGGTAGGGTAGAGCGTAGGTAGAGAGTATGGAAGGCTTATATTAAATGTCCTGACCGTGGCAGGACCAAATTGCCTCACACATAAATTAGCTAGGATGTAACTACCATAGTTGTTCCATTTGAGGTTAGATCAACCCCAGACATGAACTAAGAGTCTTCAGAGTGCTTGGATTAGTCACAGCATTGAAGAGAAAACTTCTCTGAGCTGTACCTGGCAGGGAGTCTGGAGTTTCTGGTTTGGAAGCTCAGGAAGGTGTGAGGCAGGGGAGGGGCCTCCAGATAGTGGGAGGGCTGGTGGCTGGGGCTGGGCCCTTGTCAGCTATGCGGGTGAGGGCTGAGTAAACCCAGACAGTCCAGGGACAAGAAGGTTATCAGCAGTCCTGAAATTCACGTAAGGGAGTACTGCACGTTGTCCACTTCAGCTGCTCCTGTCTGCTTTGTCTTTTTGAGGTCTCTGCTTACCTACACCCTGAAGATGGAGGTACTACTAGGAGTAAAAATTGGCTGCCTGCTTGCCCTTCTGGTTCTCACACTGGGCTGTGGCCTTACTCCCATCTACGTCAAATGGTTCCAGATGGATGCAGCTACAGGTATAGCCCCTCTACTCTGTCCCTCACCCCGTCTTAGACCTTTCCTAACATCTGGGTCTGGTTTTCACATTCCACCCAAAGACGTTGGGCGCTGTCTGTTGCTCTTCATTCGTTCCCATTCACCTCATTGCTAACTGGAGAATAACCTTTGCTTTTTTATTAGGTCATCACCACAGGGTTCTCAGCCTCCTGGGCTGCACCTCTGCTGGTGTCTTCTTGGGAGCAGGGTTGATGCATATGACTGCTGAAGCCCTGGAGGGAATTGAGTCAGAAATTCAGAAATTTGTGGTGCAGGTGGGTAGCCAAGAAACCAAGTGGCAGGGTTATGGGACCAGGATGATAGACAGAAGCTGGGGGCATCCGGCAAAGCTCAGAGCGCAGCCCACCAGTGGGTCAGCAGCTGTTGAGTAGAAGGGGGGTGGGGGTGGGGTGGGGGTGGGTCGAGCATCCAAAGAAAGCTTGATGGCTGAAAGGGCAGGACAAGAACCAGAGCTGCCTCAGACTCAGCCGCAGTCTAATTTCTGTTTCTGCCTTCCTAGAACAGTACAGGAAGTAAGGGAAATTCTTCTCGTGATGCTGCTTCTAGTTACGTAAGTATCTACTATTAGCCCCTGTCTGGAGAATGAGGAGAACCTGGGACTTTTCATGCTCCTTTTGACTTGTGAGAAATACCAGGACTCTCTTTCTCTCAGCTCCAATAATGTAGAGAAAAGCAGTGCCGACCTAATCCTTTGTGGGTTCTCAGAAAAGGCTCTTGCTTTACTCCATCCTTCCTACCCTGGACCCTCTGACAGACTTCACATGGTTTTCCTTTATTTCTAACCCAAGCAGCGTTTTGTCCCTCAGGGTTTCTCTCCTCTGCAAGTCTACTCTCTGGCTCCACCCCCTTTGGGCCTTTTACCGTGTTTTCCATTCTCGGAGCAGGAGTTCCGTGTCCACACGGTGTATTGTCTCCTTCCCTTCCTGACTCATGGCCCCTCTCTCTATTCCTAGGTGGAGTATCCCTACGGAGAGCTCATCATCTCCCTGGGCTTTTTCTTTGTCTTCCTTTTGGAGTCGCTGGCATTGCAGTGCTGTCATGGGGCAGCTGGAGGAGCAACAGTACAGGAGGAGGAATGGGGAGGGACTCATGCCTTTGGATTCCACAAGCACCCACCCTTACCCTCACCCTCGCGAGGTCCCCTCCGTGCTCTGGTCCTTCTGCTCTCTCTGTCCTTTCATTCCGTGTTCGAAGGCCTAGCTGTGGGACTGCAGGCAACAGTGGCGGCTACCATACAGCTCTGCGTTGCTGTGCTGGCTCATAAGGGGCTTGTGGTGTTCAGTGTGGGCCTGAGACTGGTGAAGATTGGCACTGGACCACGATGGGCCACGTTCTGCATACTGTCACTAGCTCTCATGTCTCCTGTGGGCCTAGCCCTAGGGCTAACTGTGGCTGGAGGGGCCTCGGGACAAGCACAGGGATTAGCTCAGGCTGTATTAGAAGGCATAGCAGCTGGCACGTTTTTATATGTCACCTTCTTAGAAATTTTGCCCCGGGAGTTAGCTTGTCCTGAGGCCCCTCTGTCCAAGTACGGCTGTGTGGCTGCTGGGTTTGCCTTCATGGCCCTTATTGCTTTGTGGGCCTGAGACATTCCTCACTGCTCTGATAGACCTACCTAGGACAACTTCTCCTGAGGACACTCCCTCAGTAACTTTGGTCCTCAGACATTATTCTCACTGAGACTAAACATTTACTAGACACGGACTGACTCAGATTTTATATACGTGAGGTCCTGTCCTTGCTCAGGACTTAGAAAGAATGTTTTGTTTGCATGCCTATTTAACTGGAAAATTGGTATCAGGACCATCACTCCAGATTTGTTATTGTGTGTAATAAAAGTCCCATTGTTCCCGTTCCCTTCAACTTCACTGTAATTCTGTCTCTGATAGAGGGAAAGGGGATGGGGTGCAATTGAGACCATAGTCATTCTAGTGACTATAGGTCACTTGCCCCCCAGACATAGGACTGCCAAAAAAGTGTCAACAACCCCTTACTCCCTTACCCATAAAAGCTGAGAAACAGACCAGCAGGGGAAGATGGATGTTTAGAAACAGAAGCCAGGGGATAGATATTTTTCCTTCAATAACTACCTCACCCCACTCTCAGTGCCTGCTGTCAGCCCCACCAAGTTCCTATTTTCACACTGAGTCTTGTGTAGCCTCCAGGACACTGCTGCTATCCTCTGGGCTTCTCTCTTTCTGGCTGCCACAGGCTGAAGGATTAAAAACCAGTGCTTGCAGAAGGGGACCGGCGCCAGATAAATACCTGGTGTGATTATCTGAGGTGTAACCACCTAGTGACTTTTCTTCTGTCTCCCTGACCAACTGCTACTAAAGATAGTGCAGAAGGCAGCTACCCCTGAATCAAGGACGGACAGGATGATTGCCCTTCTGCTCTCCCTCGCCTGGTTGGAGTATCTCTCACTTAGTGAAGAAGAAGGACAAACAGGCGCTGCAGCTCTCTTGCCCTCGACAGTTTGCCCTTTTCTTGTGATTTTCAGTGTGATAGCCCAAATGCCTTAGCATGAAAAAACTTCTGAATTATTCATTCATGTCTCAGTCTTCTTTCCACTGTGTTCCCCTCCTGAACAAGTAAGAAATGTAAATCCAGTCTCCACACAACCAGGGATCGATGAGAAAGCAATGGAAGAGCAATGACAGGAGAGGGAAGGGGGAATATTTTCCGTAGAGCACGGTCCAGCTGTGTGTGCTCAGCACAAGATGCAGGGACGTAAGGTGCTCAGGAGAACCTGGTGTGTGCCAATGGCACAGGCTTCGGCAGGGAACACCTGTGATGTGACAGGTGCTACACTGCTGTTTGTACACAGATTGCCTCGTTGGCACAGCTCCAGCAGTGACATTCTCCCCGTAGTAACCTAGGAAAACCGGCATCCAGAAAAGTTAAAGAACTTGATCTCTCGGCCAGTGGGGCCTCAAAGCCTACTTCCCTATAACTATATAAAAAGCTCCATATAGAGTCTCTTCTTCCTTGTGCTTTCTCTTTCAAATGTCTATATACGTTAGAATCCCAGATCAGAGCAGAGAGTGCGGGGCATAATTGAGAAAGCTGTATGGGAGGCTATTCGGTAAGATGTGTGTGGGCAGGGTTTAGACAAAGCAAGAAACATGCAATACCCTGAGCTGAGTAAGAAGCATGCTGTTAGTAGAAACTAGAAAGGACCAGCCCTGAGAGTGGTGTCCTTGATCTATAGAGACCCAACCAGGAAGGTGCTAGAATAATCTTATTTTCCTGCTCTGATTTGCTAATGTCTTATTAAGTAAAACCAAACAGAAGCCTGAGGATAGAAACGTAGTGCTCTATAGACTGACTGGTCAACCTCCGGAGACACAGATCTGTCCTGCATGTCATCCGTTCCCTGCTATGTTTACCTTTAGATGATCTTGCCAGAACTCTGGCAGGATACGTTGTATGGAAGCTTGAGAACTATACCTACCACAGGACCGTCTCTGACTAAGTGAGGAGCCGAAGGGGACGTGCCCTAGCCTGCTGTGGTTCTCTCCGTGTTTCTGGATTGCTGGTGCCATCAGCACTGCACAGATGAGGTAGAGGCTGTTCTCTCGACCGACATGGTGAGTCATGAACTCTTTGTGCCATCCCAGAAATTCTGGATTTCCGTTTGGCCTCCTCTCCAAAGCCACCAATATGGAGTTCTTTTCCTCCCCATATCTCTTTCCTTCTTTTTCCCCAAATTCTTAGCAAGCAGGGCCAGACATATGTTAAGTTTGAAGAATATTGTGTCAAGAACAGATGTAAAGCTAGAGGGTGGGTCCATCTGGAAAACACCAGGAAGGGAGTGTCTGGACCAGGAGAAGGACCAGGTGCTCTCAGCCGACAGAGATAAAAGCAACCCTGGGAACAGGAGCAGTCAGGCATAAGAACCACGATGGGAAAGAAGTGAGACTGCCGCAGCTCCGCCCGCCCACCTGCCCGCCGTCCGCCATAGGGAGACTGTAACAGAAGATGACTAGGAAGAACAATGAGTCTTAAAACAAAGAGAGGAGAGTGATCCAGGCTAATGGAATAACCAGGAATGTATGTGTGTGGCAATTTTCACGTCTTCCTATGATGGCGTAAAATACAGATGGAGTTTTCTCTGGGGCCACATAGGAATGGCTGTGGCCCAGAAAAGATTGAGGTTATCCCGAATTCCATGTTCCACCGTGGTGACATCTGCATGAAATGTGTTGCTGCTTTTGGGTTAGTTGATGGTTTGGTTTGGTTTTTGTTTTTGTTTTGACTCAGAGACTCTCTATGTAGCCTTAGCTATCCTGGAACTCACTATGCAAACCAGGCTGAACTCAAACTCATAGAGATCCACCTGCCTCTGCCTCCCAAGTACTGGGATTAAAGGTATGCAAAACCATGCCAGGAATCAGTGTGTTTTAATAGTAACAGGACAGTCATAAATCAAAACTTCAAAGGCCTCAGATGCTGTCTGATGACATTCTTAACGCTGTTGACACTCAGGGTTAGTGAAAGCTAATGGTCTAGTAATTCATCCCACAAGATTTTACCCAATAGTCAGAAAGAAGTCAAGGTGAGTAATGAATGTCTATTTGGGGGAGAAGGGAGCTAAAGATAAGGTAAACTGTAATTAAGCACCAGACCTGCAACATTCCAACTTCTCCACAGTCATTAAAGTTCTAGTCAGTCAATCAGCCTCAATTCCCCATCTCTCACGACCATGCCCTCAAATATTTGTATACTGCCGAGGACCTGCCTCGGCTTGGAGAAGGGTTCTGAGAGAAGGGGTGTCTGGGAGCAGTGAAAACAAACCACTTGAAATCAAGTCGTGGGTCCAAGCTGGTGGCCTCTGGTCTTTCTGCTTGATGTAGCTTAATTGGTAGTAAAAAATTCTAAAAGCTCTCTGGACAGCTCCTGGGTTTTTTGACTAAAGTCAAAAAAGCTGTTTTAAGAAATACTTGGTTCTTTCAACCAAGTCAGAAATCCTGTTAGGAAAATTCTAAAGGTAATTCTTGGGTTTTCTGATCAAGATCAGAAAGCCAGAGAAAATTCTAAAAGAGCTGTGTTTGCTCTTAAGAAAGCATTCTCTGGATAGGTGTTAGAGAACATTCTAAAAAATCATGTTGGTTCTCTAAGTAATTTTGGGATTTCAGAAATCCTGTTTGAAAAAAAATCCCTGAAGAGCTGTTTTTGCTCTCCAGAGATCTCCAGACAGCTCAGCTCTCTCTAGAGAAAAATTCTTTTAAAAGAACTGCTAAGCCAGGCGGTGGTGGCGCACGCCTTTAATCCCCAGCAGAGGCAGGCAGATTTCTGAGTTTGAGATTTCGAGGCTAGCCTGGTCTACAGAGTGAGTTCCAGGACAGCCAGGGCTACACAGAGAAACCCTGTCTCGAAAAACCAAAAAAAAAAAAAAAAAAAAAAAAGAACTGCTAAAACTTTCTGCTTCTTTATCTCATACAGATCAAAAACCAGTTTTTTATGTGCATATCAATCCAGTTATTTATTCCAGGTTCCCTCTTGGCCATCCCATGAGTCAGCATTCCATGACCTTAGCCCCTTGACTCTTAGGAAGAGACAGCAAGCACAAGCACAGACAATAAGATAGCTGGGTGGGACCCTGCCCTGGAATCACCATTCCTACCAGGACCTAAACTTGCTCTGTCCCAGGGTAACCCTGAACTCAGGAATCAGCTTGCATTTGTATCTTGAAATTATATATTTTCGAACTCATGTTTTTAGAGTTCTTTTCCACAGCCTTAAGGGCTGTTCTTAAGGTCCCAGTGTTTACCATTTTGCTGAGACATTAACCACACCTTTGCCTCCTGGACTCATGCTGTCTCTGGTTTTCATGGAGTCATTAACGTTAACAGGGAGAACATTCCTCAGAGGAACATGAATATATGTACATTATTATACAAACAAGCCTAACACAGCAGCAGTCAACACTCTTGGAGGCCCATGCCTGCTGGCCCTGTCCCAGGGTCAGGAACCAATCATTCTGTCCTTACCAAGGTCATGCCAGACTTGGCAATATATGCTTAAGAAGAAAACTCAGGAATTGAACTTGTTTCAAATTCAGCCGCTCTGATTCAGCAAGCCACAACAGTTAAAAACGAGGGTATCAGAAAGTTTTTGGATGTCGTCTGTGTCTGAGAAGAGAACCGTGTGGCAGGCTGATGAGCGAGGACTCAGTTTCCTAGCTCCAGAAACAAGATCCTGATCACAAGTACAATTTGGGCTCTTTGGGGACAATAAAAGACTTATATATTGAAAAAAAAAAAGTTGTGGAATATCTTGCCTCCCTCGCAACAGAAAATAGTCCCTGTTTTGGGATACAAAGAACAGTGCTAGAGTTCAGAGAGGGGGGGGGTGCACACACACCCAGGGCAACTTGAGGAGATGTCCACTGCCACTAGGAAAGAGGAAGCAAAAATAGATTCTGCCTCAGGAGCAATCTGTGGGGATGCTTACAAATTCCTGGCCTATATAGAATATGGTTTGAGGTTTTTGGTTTGGTTTGGTTTGGTCTTGGTTTTGGCTTTTGCTTTTGTATTCTTAGTGACTCTCCCTGGTCATATCAGAGTGTACCCTATATTTTCTATGAATTCAACATTATGAGGGAATGTCTGCTGGCAGATGGTAAAAATAAGCTACATTGCTCTGGGCACCGTATATCCTTGCTAGATCCTGAGCCTCAGGTCAGACATTATTCCTCTTTCCAGGTTACTCCTGACTTAAATTTCAAAAGTGCTGTTTCCCTCTCCGATCTTTACCTTTGCCTACTGTAATGTCACTATTCTATTGGTACAATCATATATTGCTTAGAGACAGGAATATGTTCTCAGAAACATACATTAGGTAATGGGTTTTTGTCATTGAGCAAACACTGGAGAATGTGCTACACATCCCAAGAAACCTTTGGTGTCTATAAGAGAATACTGTGAGTCTGTTGTCACATATGCGGTGATACATGTTGGGCTGGTCAAAATGTCATTATGAAGCTCATAAAAACAATACCTCATGATTTTCCAAACGGAAACTGTAAGGCCCTCTTTCACTCTGTTGTGATTTCTCATTTTCTTGAGTTGTCTCTTACCTCACCTGCCCCTAATGTCTGAAAGACACTCACATTCCTTAGGAACAAAACAAGATTCAAAGCAGATCTTGGTTTCAGCACTGCCTTGTGTTCAATGATGAACAATAGGGATGTAATACTGGGAGCTGACCACAGGGGGGCACTGTGTCTCCATGGACTATCTAGAACCAAAAACTAGGGTCAGCCAGGGACAGCAAAAGCAGCTCCCCCAAGTTCCTGCAAAACACCTCTTCTCCTGCTTTAGATTCTGGAGCAGAAACACCTATAGTTGTATGCACATACATGTACACTTAAATGTGTTCCCAGTTGTGACAATTACTCTGCTAGCAGTACAACCTTTGTAGGCAGATACTAAGCAAAGATCTGTCTTCCCAGCCGTGTAATACACAATAGCAGCTATACCAGTAAAGGCTGGTTGAGGTCTTAGGACTTCACTTTTTCCTTATGTGGGGCTAAGTG